TATGTCACCTTAAGTACTAAGTTTACGTTACAATCTGCTTCTTTTCTTTGCCTTGTATGTTTCACTGACCGATTTTGTTTACAGGCAAGTATCACAATGCTAAAAACAATATCAGAAATTTGAAAGTAAGAATTGAACTAACTACGTCTATTGACTATTTCGTACACCTGACTTCAATATAATGTTTTTTTTTAAAATGATTATTGATAATTAATATTTCTCCGCTGTGGCGCAATTTCATAAGACTGTATAGGCACGCCGTTTAGAGATAAGCATCCGAATCAAAGCTCATTATTGAATTGGCATGATAAATTGTATTTGGCAACGATCATTAATATTGTTTCAATTTAATAAGTAACACCAAGGAATCCAGCGGTGGGGCGTGGCGGCCGGCGCTGGCAGGTACGTATTTTGCATCAAAATTATTGCTTTATTATTGGCAGCGATTCCGAAATTAATTTCCCGGGATCCGAGCGAAATTATAGGCGATCCCCGACGCCGTTACCGCGAGTTGTAATTATTTTTTGTATGTTTTTCGAGAGTAAACGTTTTCGCTGCTTTGTAACTCGGTCACGACACATTTAAACGGGTAACTCGAGTGCCGGCCGGTCGTCGAACAGGGTACTAACTTAGACCCTGATATTTACGTAAGCGGAAAAAAATTAAACTCATAAATGTCATAGAATTATACAGGTGACAACGCAAACATGTATACGTATATCATTATTTTTAACGAGTATACGATTCAGAAGCTTAACATCAGGTGGAGTTTGTTAACTAATTATTTAATTAATGTACCTAGTTCGCGTTTTATAATGATAGTCGTTTGTTTGCGTACACTCACATACCTACATATAACATCAAATATCATATTACATAATCAAACCTTTTTTAAGTTGATCGTTAGTAACGTCAGATCTATTTTACAACTGAATTTTAATCTTCGTTTTTTCCACTGTGACGACTCACTTGCTACTTGCGTCTTCTTTAAGTTACTTCAATAGCTACATTGCTTATATCTAAAGGAAGTAACTGTTAAATAAGAGAAACATTACTAGGGGTTACGTTGAGAGAGACATTAATTGCCAACTGCCAACATACATAAAAGTACCTATACTTATAATTAGAGATGGGCCGAGTACTCGGCTGATACTCGGTACTCGGCGGGTTTTTTGATACTCGTACTCGGCCGAATAACTCAGTTATACTTTATTTGGTAAAGAGTAGTAATGAGACAAAACTACGAGACGATGAGAGCAAGCCGACGTCTTGACCGACGCGAAGCTGTTTTTACTTGTTTATGTGCGCAAATTGAGAATTTGCCTGAACCGAGTTACTTGAAAAACACTTGAACCGAGTTAAACTTGGTACTCGTTACTCGGTAAAAGTGTTACTCGGCGCATCTACTTATTATAAAAAATGTTAACTTCGTGTATACATACAAAAAAAATATACTTTTTATAAAGTTGGGGCCCTAGAATTAAATAAGTAGAGACTAGATATTAATCCGAAACGTTTCCGCTTAAAAAACAAACATCTTAATAAATCTACAGTTGTTAAGTGCAACCGACAATTTGTACAATTACCACAGTCCACCTACGTGCGCCCACATAATTTGAACACTTTAAAAATTGCTTCCATATTTCACTTTGTATTTGGGCAACTGTAACTGTGTTATTATTACAGCATACTGATCAAACAAGAAATCGTTACCGCTCTTGATAGTGAGGCATTTTCGTCTGCTACAAATTGGAGTGGTAGACAGACGAATCGATAAATATGTCGATTATTTTGGTTTTTGAAGGGCGAAGGGGAGGAGTGTTGGGGATCATTATAATATCTGTCTCGCGAATTGTAGCTTAGAGTGAATAGCTATAGCTATACAAAAATTTTGCAAACCAATACAGCTAAACGAGTCCGCCATAGCACGCAAACTATCTAATAGTTTTATTTTATTCATAGCGATATTATCTCCGCATGAGACCAGTATTAAATGTTGATATTCAATAAAATGTGTTGTGATAGCATTTATTCTATTACACCGGATAGAGGGGATTTATTTTCATGACTCTTCATAATTTATATCTTATTCGCTGATAGCATCTTTATGTTGGTACGTCTGATTAGTTTTTCATGCTCTGTGAATTTACTGCATGACATCAAATTGTTTTGTCTGTTCATAAATCTATTCGATTAGTGCACAATTTTGACATTAAACGACTTTGACAATTTACAAAACGAGAGAACTGGCCAGTAATACAAAAGAAAAAATACAATTAATAAACGCCGAGATATCAAAACATTTAATTTGCGTTAAAACAAACACATAATTGACTTAAACCTAAGCATAAACTTCGTATCTTTATCATCTTATCATTATTCATACCAAAACAACGGAACAAAGTAGAATTATTAACTGTACGAATTTATTAACCGCGTTATACAACCCTCAAATAGATACTTAGTAGCCCCCCCCCCCCCACCACCCCAGTGACATTAAAACATCGAGCCAGACTAAATTAAAGCGCGCCAAAACGGTTCTCTGTGGACCCAAGGTAGTCGTTTGTTTTAATACAATAACCGTAGTCATCTCTTTCGCTCCCTAGCCGGAACACATTTCGCCGTCTCGTTCACACTCGCTCGCTTAATTTCTCTTAAGGCTAGTATTCGTAATTCATTGATCCCGTTCGTTATTCCTAGCGTAACTCGCGGATTTAATTTTCCATAAAACTTTTTCATTAAATGTTTTATTTATTTTTAACAAATTTAAAAGTAAACTTTTCCAGATATGATGAATAATCGAGAATATTTTTTAAATATAATCTGTAGACAAGTCAACTACAGAGTATAGTAACACATTACGTGTTACAGATGAAAAATTGGTAGGTAACTACATGATATTTTTCCTAATTATTTCCTTAAATATCGCTAAAAGGAAAGGGTCCATAATTCTTAATAAAAATGAATTTTTAACAACTTATAACGGCTTAAAACGCGAAATAAATCAGTTAACTAATTTTTTATCAAATTTAACGGCTCGCTTCGGAGACTTTGCAGCAGCTATGGGCACAGGGGTAATTAATATTTTTCGCGTTACAAACCGTCAAAGTGTATTATTTTAATTTGTATCCCTTCCTAAACAAAACTCCGTGATATCAAAAGATAATTTCCACAACTGTTATTAGGTATTGATCTGTGTAACTTTTGTACGTTTCAATTAGAAAGCACGAGAACTGGTTAATAATCTACGAGTTCCGTAGATTCATAACACTTTACTAAATTAAAAGGCAGCATAACGACGTGTTCGTAACGGCAGCGTTCCTCTTAATCACTTCTAATTTATTTAGCCGTGGAGGGAGGACCACTAATTTACTTTTGTCCCTGTCTAGCCCCCAGCGCCCGGCTATAACCGTCCCTCTCCGGGGACCATTTTTAATTAAAATCACCGAGAGAAAATTAGAAATTATATTCTATTTTCTGAAACTTGTTCCTGACGCTTTGTCGGAGATTATCTCTTTTTTATGAGCCCCCGGTTGCGGGTTTATGTTAACAAGTTGAATTGTTTGAATGTCTTTATAAATCAATAAGGATCTATAGATACCTACACACTATCTAATAAAATGCACAGATTGAATATAACTCTTTATTACAGCAATCTATATTAAAGTATTGTCTGTAGTATCTGCGCCAATATATCTAGATCGATAGGTAAATACATCCAACACTTTTAACGGTTGAAAACGCGAATAGATTGTATTATTAATTACAGGATAAGTGTTTTAAGTTAAACCAGTGTATTTTACAAGATTACTATTTAATATATCAGTTTAGATCAGTAAAGAAAAGATATTGCCATACTAGATTGATGAATGGTTGTAAAGCTGTTTTACACCAACTTTAAAAAAAGGACTTTATTAATAAATTGAGTAAGGCTTTCACGGCCATCGATCAGCATATTATTGTCTTTCGGGCTGTTCGGCCGATGTGAGCGAGAAGAGGTTCTCGACGTTTCGCCATCACGTGTGGACGGCATCTTCAGGAGATGTTAACTCCTCGATTGCTCGAAGAATTGTGAGATGTCCGCCGCGGTCTCAGATTATATAAACCCTGACAAGCGGGGAATGTAGTGGTGTGTAGTGGGGTAGTGAGCGTGACGTCATTAGTCATAGATGATTCACCGGCCCGCCGCGATCTTAGTTTATCTATAAGTCTCGGCTCCATATGTCATGATGGGTAGGATACACTTTTTTATTTTTAGGATACACTTTTGGATTTGAAGTTTTGCTTGCCTAGTTGTATTTTTTGGCCAAGGTATATATAGCTTTGTACTACTTCAAGAGCGGTTCCGTCTACTAACACAGCCTCCGGGATGACATGGTTGTTAAACATGACCTTGGTCTTACCCAGATTCATCTTGAGACCGACGGACTGAGAAGAGCAGTTGAGTTCATTTACCATTTTGTCAAGTTCTTTGGGAGTATGGGCTATTAAGACAATGTCATCCGCAAATCTGAGATGCGAGATGTATCTGCCGTTTATGTTGATTCCGCGCCCAACCCAGTCGAGCGTCTTGAAAACATCATCTAGTGCGTTAGTAAAGAGCTTTGGAGAGATTATGTCCCCTTGTCTCACGCCTCGGCGCAGCTTTATTTGTTTAGTGCTCTGACCTTGGATTTGGATGGTCATCGATGCGGCATTGTATAATTGTCTCAGAATCTCGATGTATCGGGAGTCGACCTGAGCCCGTTTAAGAGAATCCAGAACAGCCCAGGACTCGATGGTATCGAAAGCTTTTTCATAGTCCACATAAGCGAGGCATAGGGGCTGGTTATACTCTCCTGTCTTCTGGATTCTGCTGCCCGGTACCATAGATCTGATTTTTATGTCTTGTATTTTGAATGGTTATCCCGCCATTTGTCGGTCGCCAGAGCCAGAAAGTTTTTAAGGTGTGTCTCGTTGGTTAGTTTTTCCTTTTTCACCTCAGTACCTGTACAGGGTTCCTACTTTTCACCGGCGTCGTATCCCGGGAGGAACATCTTTAAAGCATTCTTCAGTTCGTCGTTCGGGGTCAACTCCGCGTAGGAGATGTTTTTACTACGTGGACATTGTCGCGACTCCGAAGACTCTAAAGCGACTTTCAAGCAAACCATACAAAAGTTGTGGTGACCGGGGTTTGAACGACACCTTGGCACATTATACAGAGAAACTCTTGCTATATGTGTTCTATAAACTCCTTTTTCACTGACATCAAGAATCTATCAATACAATCAGCCCAAAGTTTGCAGTTCAAGACATTTATAAATTTGTTATCTTCTAAGCTAATAAACAAATTTTCTTCTCTCTCTTCATAATATGACACTCGTCTCCTTTTCGGTGTCACTATAGTGTCGTCGTCATCAGAAACAGTTATTGGCGGGTCACTTTCCCTCTTATTTACTTTTTTTAAAGTAGCACTATTAGTTTCTTTGTCTGTCCTCCTTTTCGGGGCCACGACCTCTTTCTCGGCCCGTGCTTCTTAAGAACCATCTGACCAAATGACGGAAAACTGTTTCGCTTCGGGTTCCCATGGCGCGGGATTAGGATCGTCTCTTCGCAATAAATACTTCCACACGTTATACCCCGAGAGCCCCTTTTCGGGGTAGTACTTTACGACCTTGTAGACGCCGTCGTATCTATATCCCTCTTTGGGAGCGTATGTCGGGAAATGTTTTAGCATCCTATAGGATCTGACGATACGAACTGGCAATCCACTCTTCCAAGCGTCACCAGCGTCGGCGCCGTCTTCGTTTAACGTGTTCGCTGCGCAATTTCTTGCTAGAGCCATATTCGGTCCCGTAAGCGTCTGGTCACGGGACAGATATCGGCCTCCGCTGCCTATGTATGTGAATTCATAGCCGTTGTCGTACCTGTCTTGATATAGACCTCCAAGAACAATACTTTAAACGCCTTCGAGTGAACGCCCGTGGAATCCCGAGACCGGAGGCCAGTAGACCATTAATAGGCACCAATTCAAATTTATATTATAAAAATAGTTGTTTAATGTCTATATATGATATTTATGAATTAATTTAATTTTCGAAGTTTGTTATTTGTTAAAAATATTTTATTACCCACTTACTACCAACTTAGTTTGGTTTAGTGAAAAGTTTTAAATTAATAAAAAAAGACAGAGAAATATTAATAATTATTTCAACTAAGCTTGCTAAAAAAGTAATTTTAAATCAAATAATTACATGTCGTTTATTGTGCCATTATTTCCTGATTAGAATATAAAGTTTAAATTTACTTCTAGATAGATTAAGAACTTTTTTACTAATTAAACTAATTAAATAAATCATTACCTTTCCGCTATAACTATGTTAAGCTAAATATATTATGATATTGAATATTACCATCTCTTAATTAAAAACCATAAACGTTTACTTATAGAAGCGTAATTACATTGGGTAATTAAATTATTATTAGGTACATTTTAAAGGGATTATTTCCATTGCCCTTTCGTATTTGAGCTCGAATGTGTAAGCGGTTTATAGCTATTCATTAATACTCTTACGGTTAAAAAGTATCATGATTATAGCGCAATAAAAATGATTATAAGGTCATGCTACTTGAAGACATGTGCAATTGCTACATTGTAAGATTATTATAAGTATTAACTGTTCTGTATAATATATATTATTTATTTATTTATTTATTTATTCATTTATACATAAAGCATTTACAGCAAGAGCCAAAACATGCAGTATGGGAAAATTAGCTAGGAATCTTATCTAAGAAATATAAGCATCTAGATTTGAAAGACCCTGGATTTACATTAAATATATCATGTGCGCTAGTTACTGCTAGGAAATTATTCAACAAACGGATAGTACTTTGTGTTGCAGCCATGTAAGCCACTCGTGTCGCCGCCCTCCGCCAACACCTTTCGGTTGCGTAAGTTATAGTGCGCTCTGCGCCCAAAGACCACATGTCTCCAACACTCTGGGATTATCGATCCTGCTATTAAAAGAAGGAGGTAGTGCCACATTTTTGACATATTTCCTCTTTGTTCTAGTGTTGTCATGCCAACCATACCTAAGACAAAAACCTGAGGGATAAGCATATGTAGGATAATATCCATATAAACGTTTATATAATAAACGAGCAAATTATCGCTGAACCCTTTCGAGCATAATTATATATTTTGATTCATGGGGGCTCCAAACTATGGAATGATATTCTACGGTACTTCGCACATATGCATAATATAAGCAGAGCAGACCCTGAATGGTGGACAGGTTGGAAGTCTGTCGTATAATAAACCCGAGCGATTTACGCGCCTTTAGACATAATTTTTCGATATGTAGATTAAAATTAAGTTTATTATCAAATAAAACGCCTAAGTCTTTAACTTCGTCTACACGGTTTAATTTTTGTTTGTCAATATAATAATTGTATAGTTTCGGTAGCCTGGCAAGAGTATAGCTCATTACTTTACATTTACAAAGATTGAAATCTAGTTTTTATATGCATTCCATTCTCTCCAATGCACTCCATTCAAACACTTGATCAATGTCAGTTGAAACGCTTGATAATCTGTAAAATTTTCAATTTTTGAGTATAATTTCAAATCGTGAGCAAACATAAGACATTCAGCATGATGTAGGACTTCAGGAAGATCATTTATCATGATAAGAAATTGGGTAGGGCCAAGGACACTGCTTTGACTTACTCCTGAATTAATAAGATAATGTTAAGAACGCTGTCCATTAAGTTATACATATTGGTATCTCTCAGAAAAATAACTAGAAAAAAAATATAGCTTTGGTGTGAAGCCAATCTTATAAAATTTACGTAATAGCTTATCAATCGTGTGGAGCCAATCTTAAGCTTTTAAAAAAAAAAAAAAACCCCCCCCCTTTTTTTTTTTTTCTCCCATTCAATCCCGGGAAAAAACCCCAAAAATTCCCCCCCCCGGGGGGGGGGTTTTTTCCCCCCCCAACCCCTTCCTGTTTTTCTGTAAAAAAAGGATTAATCTGACGCAGTAAATGGGCATTCAAAATAGATTCAATAGTTTTTGCAAATACGGATAAATAGCTATTTTTCTATGATTTTCTACTCTATTCTTAGGTGAACATTTAGGAACAGGTGTTACTCTAGAGATCTTCCACTTTTGGGGATACATATCTGTCGAAAGTGCTAAATTAAATATATATAAAAGAGGCTTTAACAATACACTAACACAATCTTTTAAAACATATGGTGGGACACCATCAGGGCCGGCGGCTGCATACGGTTTTAAACAGCGTACTGCTAATTTAATATCCAATTTATTGGCACATCATGAACCCGAATAACAGCTGATCATTGCTAAGGAAGAAGTAAGAAAGGAAAATTGTATAATGCCACATTAATTTTTAATTTTATTTTTATAATATTAGGAAAACTTAACAGCTAATAGTTATAAATAATTTAGAACAGGAAGAGTAGAATAGTAAAGCTAGGGGAAGTTTTCACTTATAGAACGAAAAGTACAATTTTACACTTAAAAGAGATCCTATATACATTTAGAGCTAAAAAAAAAAAAAAAAAAAAAAAACACAACAAGTGGGCAAGGTTCAACCACATTCGTTAAAAAAAGAGTTCTGTACGATGCTTTTAAATGCGTTTTTCTTTAGAGTAAAGAGATCAAGGTCACTAGAGGTCATGGAGTTAAAAAGTGTCGTAGTTCTAGGGAAGAAGGACTGAAGGCGGTAATTGGTTCGACAAAGGGGAGTGTAAAGTTTTTGGGTTGTGCGTCTGGAAGTGGAGCGAACGGGAGAAAGTAATTAAAGTTCAGATAAAAGAATAGGTGAGTCGATTGTGTTCAGAGTAAGGTTGTGTAAGAAGGAGAGATCAGCTGTTTCTCTTCTCAGTTTTAGAGGGAGCATATGGTGGTGTTTACAGTTGTCACTGTAGTTATTAAAGTTAATTTAGAGCTTATAGTTTAGGAACTTAAGAAATTTGTTTTGGGGTTTTTCGAGTTGTTTTATGTAAACATTATAACGCGGATTCCAGACTTGAGAAGCATATTCTAACTGACTTCTAACAAGAGAACAATATATTATTTTAAGAGTTTTTGCTAGTTTGAAGTTTTTTGAGATTCTAAAAATGAATCCTAGAGTTTGCATCGCCTTTCCTGTAATTTTAAAAATATGTTTATCAAATATGAGCTTGGAATCTAATGTTATGCCTAAATCTATAATTGTGTCAGTTCTGATGAGTATTTGGTTATTGATAGTGTAGGAAAATAAATGTTTTTTATCAGATCTTGTGAAGGATATAGATGAGCATTTTGAGAGGTTGAGGTCGAGTTTATTAGCGGTACAGTAATCGTGGAAAGTTTTAAGATCTTCCTGCAGCAGTTCGGCATCTTTTTTTGACTTAATAGGTCTGTAAATCTTCATATCGTCTGCGAACAAGAGGAATTTGCTGTTTTTAAAGCAACAATGTATGTCATTAATGTAGATGTTAAACAGGACTGGGCCCAGAATTGAGCCTTGGGGAACACCAGAGGGAATAGTTATGGGAGACGAAGCCATTAAAAACAACCACTTGGCACCTATTATTAACATAAGAAAAGAACCACCGCAATAAGATTAATTAATATAGAAAAAACAGTCAACTTTAAATCGGTAGAGAAATTGAATGCTACATAAATGTCAATCGTATAACGCTGTTTTTCCAGTATCTGTCCGAAATTTGGAAGAGTTGGATTGAAATGAACAAGTATTTATTTAAATGAATCCACATTTAATTAAAACACTTTAACGGTTTAAAACGCGATTTATTAAAGTGTTTTATTTAAATGTGTACTACTCGCGTAAACTATAGACAGTATTTAAGTTGGATTAAAACAAAATATGCCCACTCGTTTTTTTTAATGAATTAAAATCTACGTAGTGTAATGAAAAGGACGATTTTGAGTTATTTTTGTAACCTTACCTCTTGTATGGTAGCCTGTAACCCAACGGCGGATTCAGGGAGGGAGGGGAGGTCATGGGGATCATGACTCCCCCTCTAAGTCGGTCGGTTACAGTAGTAAGGTGGAACATAATATTGTATACCAGTTGTTTGTACTTAAATGTATGAATTTCAATTATGTTTTAGTACTTACATCACATTTACGTACATTAATAAAATACCTAGTTTTACTTGCGTCTATTGGTATCAAGTTAGACCACGACTATGCAACCAACCCTTGGAACCAAAGCTGGATCCGCCGTTGTTTACAACGAACAAAAGTTAGGTACTGATACAAACAGTATAGTGGTATCCGCCTTATCAAGCCGAAACCTTTAAAAACCGAAGGTTCGTTGATTGGTCTCCACAAACAAAGAAGACACTAAGACATGTCAATATTATTATAATAAATTATTAATCCATGAATTTCATGTTACAGGTGGCATCGGTGACGATGACGGCGACAGTGGAAAAAGAAGAAGATCAAGAACTAACTTCAACTCTTGGCAGTTGGAAGAGTTAGAGAGAGCATTCCTTGCGTCCCATTACCCCGATGTATTCATGAGGGAGGCGCTCGCTATGAGGCTGGACCTCAAGGAGAGTAGAGTTGCGGTAAGTTGTCTGACAAAAATCTTTTTCAACCATTTTATACATGCACCCCGTTTTCTTACGTGGAGAAATCCTTTTGGATACCCACCACACCAGAATTACCATACTACAGCCTCACAGTAGAACTTCTGCCCAAATGTGAAGCATCCTGGAATCTCTTTAGAACCCGCATGGTAATACATGCACCTCTCGCGCAATGTATCACTAGGCTGAAAAAGTCGACGATGACGTGTTCGACACGGTAGCTCAATTGGTTAGACCGCCAGCACGGAACGCTGTTGATGCCGGTTCGAGACCTGTCCACGTCGTAACTTTTTTCAATATTATCGATTTTTTAATTTGTGAACATCTGAGAAAAATATATTAGTTTTCAAAATCTTTTTGAAAAATAGTGTACATATATGTCTAATATCCCATTTTCCCAATGTGGGGCATAGGACATCTGTAGTCCAATTTCTGCATTTATTTGTGATTGTTTCGTTTATGAGGAACGTAGTTGGTCATATTGCTGTAATTTATCTGACCGCTTATTTAGTTTCACAGGGTTTATAACCCAGGACTTCTCGTAGCTAAAGCGAGAAGTTAAACTTAACTGAAATTTTCATTTTAAAGTAATATTTTTTTATTTTTTTAAACAAAACGTGTTTTGAAAGTTAAGTTCACGTTCCAGAATTAATTTACTATTTAATAAGTTTTCGTGAAACCCTCTCCCTAAAGTTAATGATGCATGTAATGGTAGGTACCTACTTAATATACTAAACCTGAATATTACTAAACTGCGCGTTAAAATTATTTTTAAACGTAATTATTGTTTGACAGCAATATTAAATATAAAAAAAAGGTTTAACTTAAATTTATGAATATTTTACACATAGTAAAACGCCATGACAAATAAAAAAGAACGGACAAACTGTCACACACACCAAATTATAAATAGCATTAAAATGTCATAAAGCGACTACAATACATGTCCATATTAAAAATAGACCGCTCAGGGCCGGATTTAGAGCTCTGGGCACCTTGGGGCAATAAAAAGAAGAGGCCCTGTAGTCCGAAAACATGTTGCAAATAAATTAAAAAATCATTTTTAGTTAAATTTTAAATAAATAGATTATTGTAAAACCGAATAAATTATATTATTACATTACAAGTATAAAAATAAAATCAAAAATAATAAATCTAAAAATGGATTTTAGCGAAAAAAATATGGAATTTTAAAAACAAAAATTCGAAATCTCTAGAGGCCCTATTCTGAGGACCTGGTTTGCTCCCCTAAAGCCGGCCCTGTCACCGCGCCTTATTGAGCTGTTATAAGTTTATTGACAAGTTAACAGACAGGAAACGCGTCACATAAACACAGAAAATAACACGTTTGACGATCGCTTCGGACACGCTGTTTATTCCAACGCTTTGTTCGTTACTTAAGCTGTGCTCACACTTTTGTCTCGCACTCACAATAACGTTACGCGTTACGTAGTGGCTACTGTTATTAATAATATAATTGACTTTGCTTACTGTCTTAGTTATATGTACTCTTTGTATGTATGTTGTATAGATTAGCTTAAAAACATTTGTGATTATAATCTTCCATCTTCTAATGTTGGTATTCCTGTAAATCTTCGAGCTAATGCTTGTCATTAATATGACATTCTATATTTAAAGTCTGCATCTAATTAAATACAAGTATCAAAAGGCAATTTAGTTAAAAGTATAATAAGTATATTATAAAAACTTGACAGCACATAATTTTATGTTATAAGGCCTGGTACGTATCATCTACTCCCGAATCTAACATGTTTCTAGAATATTTTTTTCGGAAACACGTTGAATGTATATGTATATGGCTGGACTGATGTACTGGCCTCTGTCATAAAAAAAAAGTTTCAAAAATTTAAGAGAAACGAGTAATGTTATTATTTTATTATTCCCAGATTAATTAATTAATAAATTAATGTCATGATAAAATCGATGAAATATTGCTTTTAAATTAATTACTCTTATAAATTCAATTTAATCCACAGAATGCAGCATTCACATACTTTGGTTTGTTATTATTATGTAATTTTATGTTTCGTTTAAGTAATAAGTAAAACAATTTAGTTACAATTCGTCGCACTAGAAAATTATGTTTACTGTTGACTCGTCCATTAGATACCGGTCATCTTTTTATTTAACCAGATATTGTTTAGTAAATTAAATATCTTGTTGTAATGAACATTCTTAACGAATATTAATAACGTCCTAAGCCTATAGAACTTTTAAACGTTCGGCCGGGGGTAGGGGGGTGGGGGGGGGGAGGAAAAAACTTTTCAAATAGTTTACTAAGACATCCGTTTTAAACCGTTTTCTTTCGTCCTAAGCCTATAGAACTTTAAACAAATGTTGTTTTACAAGGCATCCCGCCTTACAATAACCGAACAACACTTTTACCTTCCGGGACAAATTTTTCCATTGAACGCGAATGAGGGTTGATTTCCCTTATTTTCCGGCACATCCCGGACTAAGCGGTCACCGGGGACCGCCCTCTGGTCGAACCGCTTTTTATACAATCTTCACCGAACCTCAACGGTCAACTTGAGATAATAGCGTATTGAACGGCGCAAAGTGTTGCCAGTTTATGATTGGAAATCTGGTCGAAACGAGCGCTTAAAGTAACCAAGGTGTTGATATTTACATGACATGACTGTAGGTATTAATTTTTTTGTAGTTCGTTGTAAAAAAGTGTGTGTAGTTACGGAAGTTGTGTGTGTGCATGGAACATTGTGGATGCCGTTTCGAGTCCCATCCGTGTTTATTTAAATACGTTTTTAATTTTATGTAATGCCATCATGCAATAATGTGTGACACCAAATAATTTTTATGTAAGATTTTGAATTAATATGGTTTAAATTGGAAGATATTTTTTTACGACACGGGTAGGTCTTGAACCGACATCCACAGCGTTCCGTGTTCTAACCAATTAAGCTACCGTATCCTACACCTCAACCTATTAATACATGCAAGATGCCTCTCGCGCAACAATTGTATAAAGAAATGTTTGACATTTGGGAAAATGATCATATGTATAATTTGCATCCAATATTGAAGTGAAGCGTGCAAATCCAAGACGAAGAAAACAAATCTGTGCCTTTAATCAGTACGAACGTCGATAGTATCGAAGGCTTATCGGAAAATCTCGCCTGAAACAGACTATGCCACAGCACTCCTAATAGTTGGTATAAATCAAAAGATCGCAATCTCGCAAGCACCCCTGGGAGGCAAGCGAGACGGCACGATTGAATCGCATAGATTTAAATGGGCGCGCGAGATAAGGACAGCAATAGATTCCGCGGCTCCGGCCCGAAACGTGCGGCGGCGTAGGGAAGTCACAATTCGATTACAGCTCAATAAAGTTAAAGTGACTTGTTTGTATTTGTAAAGTTGATTTTTTTCCTCTCGATTTTCTTTTTTCGTGAGCTCGTGCGAGGGGGTTTTCTTTTTTTGGTTATTCGGGACATTAGGTTCGACAGTTGCTGTTTGAAATTATTTTGATTATGTAACGTAAATAAGTATAGACACAGTTTGAATGTCGCGATTACAGTGTAGTAAGATGGAGTGAATAATAAATTAAAAATTAATTAAATCAGTTGAATAGTTAATAAGTATTTGTTTAATTTTATGATTACCTCGTCCTGATCGTGTGGCAAATATTTTCAAATTAAAGTTAGGTTTAAATTTTTACATTTTAATACTTTGATGATACGTAACGCTTTAAACAGTGCTATTTGTATATAATAGAAAATAAATTATAGACATATGTAATTTAAATAAAACGAGGGTCCCGAGCCGTTATAACACATTTTTTACGATAAGAAGCGAATTTAAATCTAATTTCATCCGCGGCGCACGTAAAGCTCGCTAAGCGACGGCGGTAAGCGAGGAAGTATCGGCTTCATTTTAAAATTCATAGCATAAAATTTACATTTATATGCCAATTTCATTCCCTAACAGGGCGTCGGCGGTCGCACGCACACATCAGTATTCACCACACACACACCGCACCCCCGCTTAAGAAAAACATTACATTCTCCGCTTCGGCGAGAAGAAAAAGAAAGCGCAAGGTTTAAATATGGAACACTAAATGGAACGCTTAGGCGACAAAATGCGGATGGAATATAAAATTTAAGCTTTCCCTCCTTTTCGGGCTCACACATTTCCCTATTATAGCTGTCCTTGTCTAAGCTTCGCTGTCAAACGCGCGAGTTTACCGCCCTAGGCTTAGGAAAAGATAGACAGGCGTGTAGGGTTGCCACTTCAGTAATGCAATTTTGCCGCAAGATTTTTTTATTCCATTTATTAAGGACGTTCTAGGCAATTCACAATGGCAATATAAAGTTGGAGTAAATAAGATTAGTAATTATACTTCATACAATTTTTATGTAACTATTCTTGTAACGTGTGCCAATGAACGGTTGAAAAGAGTTTCATATACGTATTTAGCAAGTATTTATATAAAGGATGCCGCCACACTTATCGGTTTTAATTTACTTGTTAATTATAGGTACCTACACATTTTAATGAAAGTATTAAAAAAAACATTTCATCAAATAAAAATATATGTATCTTATACATATATATATATATATATATATATATATATATAAAAGATACTACAAACGTGCAAGCCATTCCCTTCATTAAAGGCTACAGTGTTCCGTAATAAAGAAAATTATTTATTTATTTTCATTATAAACATAATAAGGGTGGTAATAAGGAAATAAGGGTGTTGATGTATCAAAGCGCCCTTCTCACATGGCGCAGAGATGGAGTACCTACGACGTTTTTATTTCGACAATTTCCGCAAGATTCCCCATTGAAGGGAAAGTAAATGGAAAGCAGTGAATCGATGAGACTTTAATGCTCTAGGGAGGGAAGGTCTCACGATGGAAAGTACCTACATTTTTCAGTACATACAAATATTTTATAGCTAGTAAGGTAGCGCATTTCCGAAATTCTTGAAAATGTAAATTATGTATTGATAAAAATTTAACGGAAAAATAATAACTTACTATCACCAATAGTTAAAATAGCAACACGTGTGCTTGCTGCTTAAATAAATAACTTACCGTTTAATCTAAATATGTCTTTGTAAATAAGTTTAACTAATATATTTTGCGTTTTAAACCGTTAAAAATGATTATTTAAATGTGTATTACTTGCGTAACTAGTGATAACTGTGTGCAGACTCACATAACAGTAGGTACCGAAGAATAATTAAATCACGGTTAAAATTATAATCATTCAATCAAGAAAACGCCTGAAATAATAAACTAAAATAACGAACTTCTAACTCAGTTGTTATTTGATCCCAAATTCTTTTGAGAACACACCGTATTTCGCCGAAAAGTTCTTCCCCAAGAGGTATTAATGGCCCTCCCCCCGGGGAGACCGGGAGTAGGGGGCTATACGTGGCTCATTAAGAGAGGGAACAGCCCACAGGTCATTACTCGCTGCCCATTCCGATTCTATTCTGTAATCAATGTATTTCGATTAGGATCGCCGTGCGCGATTTAATTAAATCTGCGAGTCATTTTCGCCTATGCGTGGCTGGCATATACTATAAATATGTAGGTAGACCACCATCCATACGGATATGCCTAACTATCACAATTGTATTAATATTTAGAAGCTTTCCAATATTTTGTTTAATTTTGGTCTAAAATTTAAATTTTTTAAGGGACCTATATTTTTGAGTACCGCAGTAACCACAATAGAGATAAGATACTTATCTATGTCCTACACGTTGAACGGTTTAAAACGGCTAATATATTATTGAACGTATGTTTAACTTCCAGCCGACGTTTTTAGGTCTTGATCGTTACGTGATGTTTCGCGTTAAAACCGTTAAAGATGTTTTTAAAGGTGATGTGCAAGTTTATTTAACTTAGCTCACTAATTACCTCCTACGTTAAAGTAATAAATTACTTATCTATTAAGCTATGTATGAAATTGAACTTAATTAGATGCATTATAAATTGATTTACGAACCGTTAAGCTAACGGCCGTTACTCAATATTATATTATTGCCTATTGTTCATTTCGTCGTGAATAATTACATTTACTTAATTTCGATTAGACGTATAAAACTATAAACCTAATTACTAGTAATAAATAACAAAAGTAGGTCTTATGTTAAAATGTAGTCCCGTTTCCGTTCATCTGAACGTATAAAATAGTAAGTAGGTAATTTAAAACATAGTCTCGACAATAGTAAGCCGTCAGAGAAAAAGTGTCTAGACCGTTTTTGTAGATAATTTTATAATCTTAACTTTGACATAAAACACTTTAACGCTTTAAAACGCGATATATATATAGTTAACCTCCCCGTGACCACGGCTGCTGCAAAGCATCCAAACTTCGGGCCGTAATTAAAAATAATTTTTAAACAAGTTTAACTAAAATATATCGCGTTTTCACCCGTTAAACATAATTGTTGTAGCTTAAGCCATTACACATTTAAATAAAACACTCTCAACGGTTTAAAACGCGAAATTTATTAGTTAAACTTATTACAATTTATTGTAGCTACGTAGCCCGACATTGCGGATGCTTTTCAGCTTTATCCTCCTTGACCACGGCTGCTGTTTAATTTAAAACGTATTTACTATTTTCAAGAACACTCTTACATCGCCAAAGTAAATATATTTGTGTGTTTAATAGAATAGCCAAGACATGTAAATACGTTTCGCCAGCACGATCAGATGTTGCTTTCCTGGACTAGGCGAGGAGTTCTTCATCAAAACTCCGAGTATGATTTTAACTCTGTGGATTATAACGCCACAGCATATAAATCCTACGTTTTCCTATTTAAAAAGACGCTTGAAATGTTATAAGTTAAAAGCGTTACCTAATTAGCATCTGGAAGAGAGGTTAAACAAAATAACTAATGAATGATTCGCGTGGGTAACACTTCACTAATCTGGGCTTATTAATTCTAGACATTGTATGGTTTATAATTTAGGGATCGGTTAAAAAGTAATATCATTGTACTTTTAAATAAAACACTTTAACGGTTTAAAACGCGATATATGAGTTAAAGTTAAAGTGTTTTATTTAAATATGTACTACTCGCATAAACTATAGACAGTAATTCATTGTACTTGCTAGAATTTGTAATACACTTATTTAAATTTTTAGGATAACCAATAGTATTTTTTTTGTAATAGAGTCGGTGAAAATTCTTTTTCTTGTCAGTAATTATCACTGAATGTCAGTATTTATTATTTTGTTTAAACTAATTTAAATATTATACGTTATATAAAAAACAGTTTTTCTGTTAGTCTTAAAAACGTATAATATCTTGTTTACGCGACTAGTGTATTTTTAAATAAAACACTTTTAACGGTTTAAAACGCGAAATGTCCCACCCCCGAAACATCAGGCCAGGTTAAAAGAGATTAAAAATAAGTTAATACAGTTCGAATGTTAGAAATATTATTAATAATAAGTTAATATAGTTCGAATATTAAAATACAGAACCAATAGAATTTTTAACCTACTCGCTCTTGGCCAATTACGTTGTAAAACTGTTTCTTTTAATACAATAATAACATGTTCAGTAATTTAACAAACTGACTGAACGACGCATCATTGCATAAATGAAGTATGGATTAAAAAAGCCAGACAAGTAAATAAGTGAAATGCATTTATCAACATTTAATTAAAAATTTTCTATTAAAAACGTCTGCATCGTTGAACTTGACCGTCTCTTTAACTCATTGGCTTATAGCGATGCCTAGTATTGTATGAAGAGGTCGTGGGCTCGAATTTCGAGCAAACGATAATATTTACTTGAGCATAGACTATTTACTTGTAAACAATAGATCACCGAAATAGACGTAAAAATATCCTTTGCTCAGAACTTAATTATCTAGAAAAAAATATGTGTTCAATTAGAATTTCACGCAAGGACTATTTTACTTAACGCGATTCAATGCGTCAAGAACTGAGCGGGTGGTAGTAAGATTATATTAATTATACGCGTTATATCAAATTTATTAGTATAATCCAGTTTAATCCGAACCTTCGCTATAAAACACGATGGGCCGCCCGTTAAAAAGACGACATGTGTTTTACGAAAAAACCCTCGTTTCCGACATACGCGGATAAATTAATACTTGACATTCATAAAATTTACGATAATTAAACGATCATAAATGTTACATTTAATTAAGACGCCATAAGGAGTTTTATATTCAACGGTTCACTTAAAGACCGGATTGTAAAGAAAATTTGAGTGATAATATCCTACTGTAAGCATACGTGTGAAAATTAATATTTTGATTCCAAGGCAAGAAATTAAAGGAGAAAATAATTAGTATTTGAAAGGCTATGTAAGCTTAATATAAATTACAAACGTTGAAAATGATCTCTTAAGCTGCAAAGCATAAGACGTTGAACCTTAATACGCAAGCGTTAAGGTTGAAATTACATTGCGCGATATGTGTATTTATCAATAAGTTGAAAAAATTCGACAATGAGGTGTAGGAGTCGGAACTTGTCTCTTTGCCTAATTGATGTTTGTCTAAAAAGTGCAAATTGTCAAATGCATTCACAATAATACGTTAGCCCCACAACGTAAAACGGCACAATTTTTATCAGCACCTCCGCTGTCTTGTTCCTAAAGTAAGACGCATGGAAATTTTCACGTCGCCAGTCTTCAAGCCGGTTCCAAAGAAACATCATTATTAGTAATAACGAAACCGCGATAAGAACACGCAGTTAAAACAAAAACTTCATATAATAAATTAATTGTATAATTTGACATGCCCTGGCAACACCCAGCAATTTGTCTCTGTCTCGACTTATTGCGAAAATACAAGGAAAATACCAAACAGTAGAAAGTAATGAAGCAGTATTAATTAGGTTGAGATTAATTTATATAAATAAATTGTTTGTCAGCACTTTCTTGGTTTCACTATTAATATTAATTGCATTAAAATTTAAATGTGGAGGACAATTTATTCAACAATTTATAATAGCGTTGAGATTATTATATTTAAAACGCTTTGTTGTTTTTATAATGTCCATATACAATTCGTGTTTTTAATCATCGTAAATAATGTCTTCAAGATCAAGATGACTCCATTAATGTCTCCAATAAAAAATCTTAAACTTTTGTCCTCAGGTCTGGTTCCAGAACCGAAGAGCCAAATGGAGAAAGAAGGAACATACAAAGAAGGGTCCTGGTCGACCAGCGCATAATGCCCATCCTCAGTCCTGTTCAGGGGAACCCATCCCCCCTCACGAACTCAGGGCACGCGAGAGGTGAGTCGCTCACAGGACGAACTCTTAACGAGATGACTTGGACTTACGCTAACACACTTAAGGAATAGTTTTGCTTTTTTTTCCTCTTAATAAATTACTATGATTAAAGTTATTGATACATTTTGGAATATTAACGTAGAAATATGCGCTGATATTTTTATTGAAGTCTGAAGATTCTTCTGTTCTGTATTTCCAACATTTTACATATTATTTCCAAAATTAAGTAATCATTTTAATTCCTAGATACGAAAACGCGCTTTTTTCTCATTAAGATATCTAAACTTATAGAAATTAGGTTCTTGTCCAATTGCGCACAATTTCAAAGTGCCTGTAAATTTTAATATTTCTACAACATTATAATGATTAGGATTACTTAAAAATCTTTTAGAGTTTTGCTTGAATAAATTATGCTTTACAATACATATAAATCGCTATCAAATAAGGTTCTATACTAATTGAGCCCTCTTCTAATCAGGGCGAGAAGAAGAAAGAAGCTGGCAAAAGCACTAGAGAGACAAGCAAGAAAACTTCGCGCCAAAGGCATAGCCGTAGACCTTGAAGCTCTGAAAGCAGAATACTTAGCCCAGCATCGGAACAGCGGCCTCTATTCAGACTCTGATGGCGAAATCGATGGTGAAGAGTGCATGATCGATGTGGTAGGCGGAGACTCTTGCCACGATTCGGGCCCCGAAGACTTCTCCTTAGCTGGGCGGCTGCGAGCGCCATCTGGAGGAGATGGAATCAACAACTCGGATAGTTCAACATCAGATGCCCATTCAGGAAGGAACTTCAGCCCCTTGCCTGATCCGCAACCGTCGTTCTTCAAGCAATTCGGTGCTGCAGCTAACTTCGACAAGTTTGACTTCGACTCAGGTCGAGCTGTGTCCTTAGACCTAAGTGGGACATCATCTGAACAGGATTTGTCTAAAAATGGCGGCACGAGGAAGCACAATCCCTTTAGTATAGAATCGTTGCTTAATACGTGACTTAAATCTTAGCTGATGAGAAGTTCTGTCTTGTTTAGTATTGTGAATACGCACATCTGTTAAGATTGTCTGATTTTTTTTTTTTAAACTGGGTATGTATTGATTTCCGCGGTGTAATATTCCATTTTACACAGACCTTTCGTAATTATACAAGTGTTCCAACTGTATAATGATGTGTAACATGTAAAAATACACCACGAACGGTTAGTCAGTATCCAGGTTCATGAAATATTTAAAAAAAAGTCGTCTGTGTTCTTATGAAATATAATTGTTTCCGCTAAAGAAAAATAGTAAGTATTTTCATTAATATGTTTTCTAGATGTGAGTTATTTAATTATCATTTTTAGCCTAACAAATGTGTGTGTTCATAAGATATCAAACGATTAACGAATATATTAAAATATCACTAGATAATTAGCTTCGTTTAAAGACTTATACCAGTTAACATATCTTTGTGAATATAACATAGGTTTTGTATTATACTTATTGTAAATAGTCTATAGAGTTTACTTCAATCGGGGCAATGAAAATATTTTGTTATTTACGATTTCAAATTTTATTGTTATTTATTTATTTTTTCTAGTGAGTTGAGCTGAAACGGGGCAATATTTGTTTATGTCACTATATTTTCCTCATATATAATATGAATTGACATGCAACGTACTTATAGCAACACTACATTTATTCTCATATAACGAGACTAAATGTAATTACAGTTTAAATTTCAAAAGCTCAAACATTTAGCTTAGAAAGGCCGAATAATGACGCCTAATATTCTCTGTTTACACTTATTTTAGCAACTTGGAGTCATTAGCAACAACCGGCAATTAACTTTATTGCTACCATTACAACATAATTACTTGACGCCGCTAGGCCACAGACTAAATGAACAGTAGGGATACGCTAATTTAAGCTAATCGCTTTATTAAGTGATTTTTACTGATCAGTGAATTTAAATGAAATAAATTAAAATAAAACACCTTAACGGTTTAAAACGCGATATATTAGTTAAACTTATTTGAAAATTAGAGACCCGTGTCTTCCCGTGACCACGGCTGTTGCAAAACATCCGAAACTCCGGGACTCGGGCCGTAGTAAAAATTATTTTTAAATAAGTTGAACTAATATATTTTAACTCATTGGAGAGTTTTATTTAAATGTGTACTGCTTGCGTAAACTACAAACAGTATTTTAAATAAATTATTTTTTTAATAAAATCAATTTATTTCATGATATATTAATTCGACTTAGATATGTCAAAGTTTAAATGAGTACAATTAATAAAAATGTGTCGTGTTTCACCAATGACTTTAGTTCAAAGCCGTCCCTAGTAATTGCAACTTTTTCCTATGTCTACCATTTATAGCAACTGATGCTGACTAACTGTGCTTAAGCTTTGCTACTCTGTTTTATAAACTGTCCCATTGCGTTACAGAATTAAAATATCGTTTTATAGCCGCTTATTATCAAATTAATAAATTCCTACGAAATAATTAGGCTAGATTGTGTTAGAAATTATAATACTAAAATAAAATATTAGGTTTATATACAAATTTCGGATTTTCATAGATTTGCAGTGGTTGTATAAACTTACTGTATGTAAATATTATTTTAATTGCCTATATAAAAGATTAAAAACCTATAAAAATCACAATCTTAGCAGCTTACTAGATAAACGCCATTACAATTTGTTTTCAAAACTTTCCGCGCTTAAAAACGACAGTTAACATTGAAAACAACAATAAAACATTATTATCGTGTAAGTTTGAAAATATCGGAATCACAATGAAATGATTAGCCCAGCCCGTCCGTTTTATTGCTTTGACCCGAAGTGTAATAAACTTGAAATAATTGCGCGGGATATATTGAATTCAAAAATGGCGACGCGCACGGTAACGCGATTGGCGAAGGAATATAATATCGTCGTAAAAGTTATGTTTTTAACGTGAAGCGATAAGGGTCATTAGTGGAACAATATACGTACGCTTTGCGCCAATTCAACGTTTTAATTCATTTAAATGCCGTTAAATTCATTTATGCTTACTTTCGTTCGTTGTTTTTAGTGCAACACTATGCTGTCTACTCAATCGAGATAAATCTAATACTAATATTGGTCGTGAGTTCGAAACCCGCCGATTTATAAATTACATGTAATATGTATGCGATTGGTAAAAGAATGAAAGGCATATTCGGCTATTATTAGTTTGATTCCGACCAGGTTTGGCAAGTCTCTAAAACAATTTAGACTTGAACAAGGTAAATAATAAATAGGTGGTAGGAATATTCCGTCCAGGTCATCCGCCACCGTCCACAAATGAAAATCTGTCGATTTGCGAATGTCCAAAATCCAAATAAGTAGACATTAATTATTGATCTCCTAATATAAATTATATCACGACCATCTTTCATATGAAATTTTGTTCTTGCTTTGACACTTCTATTGCCCCCTATCTGACTCATTCCTTATTTTTTGTTTATTTTTATCAATGATATACTATATTGATAACTATTGAGACAAGAAAACAATTTCTTATTGTTTTCTTGTCTCAATAACTATAACCGGTAGTAAAAAGTGTGACCAAAATTTACTATTTTAAATGTATAAGCTGTACTTAATTACTAGGTTGCTTTTTATATTTTCAGATCTATAGTCCTATAAAACAAGATGTATAAATAGGACAATAAAAAAATACTAAAAACCTCTTATCACTGTGAATAAAAAGAAATAAGTTTCTTGTCACTTGTCACTTGTTTTTTTAACATTATTGTATGTTATCTGTAATTTAATACACAGAACTATACGTCTAAATTCCAGTTTTATTGTATACAAATCTCAACGTTTATTTAAGATCTCATTTTTATTCTTTTTACACAGATAATATTTGGTAATGGCGTAATATAGATTGTACATTTTAGTTGTAACACTTAATTAGGTATAAAGTAGACTATTTATACATAGATGATATCGTGATGCAGATTTGTAAATTGGTTATCACATTTAAGTTGTAAAAAGTATGTTATGTAACTTATTGAATCAAAATATAATATCTTGAAAATCGACCATATTTTACTCTGGCCTAAAACCCATAGTTCTATTATGACCTAAATTTTCCAGTGCAGTAGAGTACTGACTAAAAAATAACATTTTAGCAACAGCTCCGAACGCTGTAGTTGTGGTTCGATACCTGTTTTATAAAATACTTTTAGGCTAAAATTTAATTGAAATATATACTTACAAATGAGCTCAAAATTGAGTATAGCACTAAGATGTAAAAAAAGTATCAATTATTGACTAGATTTTTTACTAAGTTATGTGAAAGCAGCGAATAACAGATGTATTCTGGATATATATCAAGTCCAAGTAGTGTCAGTATTAAATATATATTTCATACGGTCTACATGGTATTTTTATGATTATTATTGACATATATAATTTTTCTGAAACATATTGGACTTCGACTGAAAATATAAATGTTAAATGGGTGGAACCACCGTGCACCACAAATGAAAAAGCCGCGTTCCGGTTAGAGTCTGTAGATTGCCAAATATCCAAAGTGATAATAGATTGACAGTGCATCTTGCCAAGATGGTGTATGCCTGGAGTATTTAACCTTCCATAAAATGAACCCCAATCTATATAAAAAAATAGTATACAGCCAAAGACGTTAATAAACGCACAAACATGACTGAACCGTGAAAATCACGTGTTCAGTATCTTAAAATAAACACAAATTATTCGCCAAATGTTCGGCGGCTCTTTGAAACACGATAGCCATTCAACTTTTAGCCACACTCGCCTTGACGCGTGACGGTTGCGAAACGAACTCTCAATTACTTTAAATCGGGGAATATTATACTTACATACTTACTACACTGTATAACAACGCTTTCCTTCTTCTACTTGTTTGAAACCCTTAATGCATTTCTTTTGACAGAAGAAGACAAATAATCGTTTCATTTGGTAGAAGATGAGATAGCGAAGCCATAATAATATCTTGATATGATTAAATTGTGCACTTTCTGGTAATTGGTAAATAATGTTAAGCTCGCGTCAATAGGCAATAAGGACATCTAAAGTAAGAGGAGTAGCATCAGAGAGAAGCGTCAGTAATTTAGTGGCGATAGTCGTTAGAGCCCGTCAACATACACTGGAATAGCGTGGTGGATGTAAGTTATTAAAAATTTCGTTCGACATGCTCGATGTTCTAATGATAGCAAAGTATTGCTAATAAAGAACGGGTAGATTCCCACCGGGACCAACATATTTTTTTTCTGGGAGTCTGGATATATGAAATGGGTGGTATGAATATCGAATCGGGATCCGACCGGGTCACTAACCACCGTTCACAAATGGAAAGGGCTAGAAGTTTCTTTATCGTATTTTGAAAGACAAAATTGGTCAATAGCGTAGATGTTATATGGGGTATTTCGTCGTCCATCAAGTTGAACCCAAAAAAGTAAGTATTCAATATTTTCTAAGATCTCTTAATATAAATTGTACTATGACTACCTTTGATATGAGCATTTGGTAATGCGAAACATTTTTTAGTGTCTTCTTCTACCTGCAATAAAAAAACATCTCCCTTTGAAGTAGGAAATAGAATACCTCTGTATTTTGTAATTTGTTGCCATCTTGTCCCTTGGGTTGAAGTTTTTGTTGTTGAAATTACTTTTAATAACTGTAGATCACAAAAACTGTTTCACTACAACTTATTTACATCAAAACAATTAACGTTGATTTCCGACAATTTAACAAATGACTACTAATAAGTCAATAACGGCAGTAAATGATGATGACACGGCGAAAGCAAGCAAATTCAGACTCCAATTTCTAATAGAAATCATTGTTTACGACTCTTTATAAAATCTCACGATAGCTTGTTTATAAATAAAAGAACAGTAATGTACTTGCGTTTCGTTTATAGTAGCAAAGAGCCAATAGAAAAAAAACTTGTCAATTGTCAAATAAGAATAAGTACAAGGACACAGATCCTAATCACAGATTATACAAATACAATAAAAATTTTATGAAAGTACCTGGAAAAGCAAAATAAAGGAAATATTTATTAATTACACATTAAGAGAACATTTAGTTTTAACGCTTTCCTTAAATGATTTATTGTGATTTACTTTCGTTTCTAAATTTAACCAAAACATTAAACATTGACACAATAAATGATTACGTTTTATAACCAAATTATACAACATTTTTTTTATTAGTAGTATCTGTGCCATGCGGCATCACGTAATGTCACCGTATACGACCAAAAAACCTACCTGATCGGCTTAATCTTGTCGAAATTACTCCAGTTATTTATAACGATATTGTGTGAAAAGTGCTCTCGTCGTTTTCAGGACTTTTACTTACTGATTTCGTTGGTTCATCGGAGCAGAAATGATTCTTCATCTCCAGGTAATGAGGCACCATTTTTACGCAGTTAAAGCCTTTAAAAAAGGACCGTTCTTTCATAAAAATTTATAACTTTAGCTAGTTTACTCAATTCTAGCTCTGCAAACTATGATTCTTATTTGTGATAGCAGAGTTAGGAATGTGTAGCGTATAATCTATCTACAAATTTATAGTTATTTCAGAAATTATGTTTAAAAACTATTAAAAAAATATTTATACATATCTGTAAATAACTAAAACTTTTGGATTTTTATTTATATAATGCCATCATGCGCAATAACATGTGAAAAATATTAGCGTTTTCAAAACTATTTTATATTTCAAAGTTTAAAATTAATACGTGTATTCAGTGACTGATCAATAAAACTATATCCGCGCAGTAAAGCGAAAAATTAATCACTCTATATTTAAATGAGCAGCGACACCTCTCGGTATGAATTACAAACTAATTACACGATATGCAAATGAAGACATTCGTTCCAATCTATTCAATTCCAACTGAAGGCTTTTATTAAACGAGTTATCATTTCTCATTAATCTTTCACTCGTTTTGGGTTGGATAAAAAAAAACAATTGGATTCGTCAAAATTCGATCAAATGCTCGATAATTGTCCAGCGTCTACTAAACCGTGCAAAACATTAAACATGTATACTAATATATAAAGCTGAAGAGTTTGTTTGTATGTTTGAACGCGCTAATCTCAGGAACTACTGGGTTCGAATTGAAAAATTATTTTGATTTTCGTTAGAGCATTCCTCGAGGAAGGTTATAGGCCTTATGACGTTGCGCTGGGACCAATAGGAGCAAAGAAATATCGGGACCAACAACATTTTAATATATAGTTATATCAATTTATACGATTTTTTAGGACCCAGAGGAGACTATAAGAAATGAACAATCGTATGTACAATCAGTGGAGGTTAAATTGATTTTCAAAATTACGGTGTAGAGGCAGCCCTACGTGTAAGGGCAAGTGCAGGCTAATGTCCATTCCGCCTTAACAGTGATACAAATCGTACCGACACGCGTACTAACCTAATCACTTAATTATAATGCGACACCTCCAGGAGCTAGGGTTGCTACATCTAAAATAATGGAATTTGTTTTAATTAGTTAAATAGTATCTCTCTAGTATCCATTTTATTTGTAAAATATAAATTTATATTACAGTTAAACACCTATTTTCTCATTATCTATGATATATAGCATACGTACGAATGAGTTAAAAAAAAATAAACTTTTTCAATATTCGTCATCAAGTTATTTCGAGCGTATCTTACAATTTCCGTAAGACTAAGAACGACTTATGAATAACTGGATTCAAAGGTAGAAAAAGTTAAATAAATTAAAAATCGATTTATGAGTGAAAATAGATTACACGAGCGTGACTCGAAACGACACCCACAGCCTTCCTTGCTGTTTTTACAAAAATGTATGCAAAAACTTGCGAAAATTCAATTTGGTTTTGTCTATTACTTATTCTAAGTGTAGCGAATACAGTTAATAATATAGTGAAAATTTAACATGTTGTTTATATCTTCGTTAATGATAGTAGGAATGATTTCGCAAGCATATTGTGACTTAACGCATCTTTTACAATCTTAAATTAAGCAATCGCCATTCCTGAAATTCGCGCACGTCGTTTAAAATCTCAAAAGCACCCAATCATTACGGCCGCAGCAATAACTTTGACTTTAAACATCGGTCGCAGCCCTAACGTTCGCCCGAAATTTTTATTACGTCAATTGTGGCCCATTGAAGGCACGATTTTTGGGTTAATTTGTTTATAATTGCGGTATCGGCCCATAACATCGTGTGGACTTACCCTTATCGGGCACATCGAAAACATTAAAAGCTTTATGAAAAATTATTTCTGATTAAGTCATTAATTTTTGTGTTTCATCCATTTTTCACTTTCGTGTAAGGAATAGTTTTATTTTGTTCCTCGTAATGATTGTTTTGATTCATTCGTTTTCGCTTTGCCTAATGTCTTTCGGTTACTCTAGGCAAGAAATCTAGGGCTGCTTAATAATGAAGAATATACCTATCATTATAGGACATTAGGTTAGGTAAGGTTCCACTGCGAGCGGCGAGAACGAGACGGGGATCAAGGAGGCGACGCTATGCACACCTCCAAGATCATCCCTAATCTTGCTTTCGCCTTGTCTGAAATGGGCATTGGTGCTGGGTACTTGGGCGTCAACGCCCAGGGCCCCCTGAAGCACGTAGAGGGCTGGTGGTGTGTTTAGTGGTTCTGGCCGGCTATACGAGTTTATCACACTCCCCACGTCACTACTGCCCGACGTGGGCGTGCATTAGGCATTCACACCATAAGTTAAACCAAAAGTTGGCTAAGTTGAATTGTATTTATTTATTTTTTGGTAACCATACAACATATATGCTTTTTATATATTAAATAGGCACACGGTTAAGCCTATAATTCTAATTATAACTAATACTAATACACAACATAGTGCCTTGATTACTTGTTCTTGAGACAATTTAACAAAAACAATTTATATTAAATTATTATTCGTTTACCACGACGCAACGGTTCTTTAATAACCATTTATTCAAGCCTCATTTAGTGTTAAGGTAAAGGTAGAAGACACCATGTACCAACACCAAGGCATGGCTTCCAAACCTTGAATAAATCTTCCATCTCCAATAATCTTGCGCAACTGTTGTCTATCCAGCCTTCTAGACACTCCTGAACATAATAAAGACTCAAATAAATGTTATATTATTATACACTCATAAATCGACTGTGCTTGTTAATTAATTTTCAAATCATACCAACATAGGGCTGATTAAAAATGGCGTGAACAAATGTCGTTACTCAACAAAGTGTGTTTCGCGCAGGAAATTAAAAAACGGCCACGAAGAAACGGTGTTTATCTTTAAATAACTAAAAAAAACATATAGATACATATATTTTGTAAATAAAAAAAAAAAAATAGACTCGGTTAGGACTTGAACCAACATCTTTCTACCAATTGACTGTTCTGTAAATAATTGAAAGTTTATTAATATACATATAACCCGTCTTAGTTGATTTTCAAATAGTAAAAGCACTTGAAAACACGCTTTCACATAACTTAACAATATATCAAACTTATTAAAATATAACTCTACCGATTTTAAAGAAAACACTTTAACGGTTTAAAACGCGATGTAATAGTTAAACATATACGAAAATGATTTTTATTCGGCCCGACTTTTCGGATGCTTTGCTAGCAGCCGGCGGTCACCGGGAGACACTTAACTGTTTAAAACGCGAAGTATATTAACTTCTTTATTTAAACTAGGGTTTTTTTTACTTACTAATTTTACATATCAAAATATTTTGAAAAACAAACAAGTCCATACACTATAATAAGCTCCACGTAACATGGTCCCGCATAGCCCTAATAATAGCTTGAAACAAAAACGAGCCGAACACTAACCAATAATTTTATCTAACGACTGCGAACCATATAATCAAAAGCATATCAACCGAAATCAATTTTTCATCGCTCGATTTAAAAATTATAATACAAAACATCGCTCGAATCGACCATTCTATTTAGACACGTCTCGCTGTTGCGTTTAAGCCAACCTCCATTAGATAGTTCGCTTCATTCGAGGTGCTAGAGATCTGCGTTGAGTGGTTAATCTATAATTACTTAACTAGTAGAGGCATAGCCGAAGCCAATAAAATTGATTTAGATTCACAGAGCGATCGCCGATGAAATATGTGCTGCAAATATGATTTGATGACTTCTGTTTTATGGTGTTTACAAATGTATGTTCCACTACTTGATTACTAATAAGTAATAAACATAAAATTCTTTTCAATAAAACACCCTTACGGTTTGAAATGCAGAAGGTATTAGTTAAACTTATTTGAAAATTAACGACGGCTGAGAATTAATTTTCAAATAAGTTTAACTAAAATATTTCGCGTTTTAAACCGTTAAAGTGTTTTATTTAACTCACATACTAATCTACAGACAGTATTTCATTAAATACTTTATAATTTAAAGATCGAAAATAAATTGAAAAAATTTTCGACACGGGCAGGACTTGAACCGGCGTCGTCAGCTTTCCGTGCTGTTGCTCTACCAATTGAGCTACCGAGTCCTTCATGTGCAATAATATGTGAAAAATATTAATGTTTTTAAATACTTTATAATAAATAGAGCAAAGAAAAGTGTGAACTCGCTGTTAACCAATTTTGGCTTCAGACATTTTTTTTATAAAATAGAGTGCAAACGAGCAACCGGATCTCCTGATGTGAAAGTCATTTCCGCTGCCCATGGATATCTACAACACTAGGGGTCTTAAAGATGCGTAGCCGGCCTTTTACAAAAGAATATGCTCTAGTCTTCAAGGTCCTTAGGTCAGTGGTCATTGGCACAAAATGCCTTACAAAACATCCGGAAATCCATGAACTGAACCCTACCAACTATAACTCGAACTCGAAAAACTTCTTGACGACTTTTCTATTTATGAATGATGGTCGGTGCCCCGGACGGAAGTTTGAGATACCTTCTAGGATTTAGATAACGAAAAACAGAGAAACATTAGTTAGACTTAGTGAGAATGACAGTGCAAAGACCCGTTGATTATTTCCCATACAAGACCACCATTAAATCAACAAGCAAATACTTATTGTTGTATTAGAAATATGACTTCTAGTTTGAGAACCACGTTGATGTACGGCTTTCGGGAAGTATTGTTGAGATTTCAAATGGTAATTGAAAATTAATGAGTGCTGCACGAGAAATACTGAAAAAGGACGAATGATCTAATCAACTGGTGCCCACGAGAAGGGAAAAGGCATAGAGGGAGACCAGTAACCAGATGGGAGGACGATTTGGAACACGCTCGTTATAAGACATTGTGGAAAAATTTGGAAGACGCCCAGTGTCGTGAGACAAGCGAACCAAATGATTTATAGTTAATGTAAATATTAATAATCGTTTTAGATGTAAAATAATTGAAGATTTTTAAATAAGTCTTCTTCATTATTCATCCAAAATATTCAAACATTACCGTACACATTACTGTTTAAGTTTATTGGTTTGTAAATAACGGCTATTCAATCAATTTCCTTTCATTTACCATCGCGAAGTGCGTACTTTGTTAAGTGAGGTCTCCAAAAATTGTACCCAAACAATTAGTTTAATTAAAAAGTGGAACAGTACTACCCTAGCCCACATGTGCAACGTCATTTGCATACCATTACAAGTCAATTTGGATCGCTCGTGAAAAATCGCTACCATTTTCGAGTGAAAGCCGAAAGACGGTCGCCGACGCCGCAAAGAGATCGCGTGTTTCGCCAAGTGCTGGCTCAATTTGCACGTCTGCCTGCTCCACGGCACAATTTGCTTGTCAAGCGAGCGGGCGCAATCATTATTAAGACCTTCCATGCCCTAACGTGTTTCGTGCTGCCGTCGCCATTAGAAATTAATTTGCACAACGCAAGTCGCTCGACGAGGCGTGATCGGGCCCTCGCTGACCAGAAATAAGGCTCTCTTAACAGTTAAGATGGAGATGACAACTTTTATGGGAATTATAAAGCATGATTTTTTTTAACCAGTTCATAATTCTTATGTAATGAGTTAGACATCTCAAAATATGTGTATATTAAATAAATGGTATATTGAACTATCTACTGTCCGGGTAACGAGCTACAGTCATCATTTACGTAAAAATGTGAAATATTTAATAATCGAAAATAAATTAAATTTTTTTGTTCGATTTTTAATCTTTATAGCGCCATAATGTGCTTTAACAAGTTAAAGAAATATAAGTCTTGAAATATTTCGTGATGATTTTTTTTATAGTGGCAAATAATGTTTTCTTTTTTTTCATTAACAGCCAAGGAAATCTGCGTTCCGGCTTCGATCTGTGGATTTCCGAATGTCTGTGCTATAGACTCTGTAGCCAAAATAGATTACCTGTAGAGTACCTGTGCTTTTTAGACGTTATAAGTAGAGCTTAGATGTTGCATTTCATAGCGTGCAACGAATCAAAGGTATCTCGCACGTTGAAACGCGAGTTGGCATCACATTCAATCACCTCCGCCTAACGACCGAACACAAAAAACTCGAAAGTCGACAGACGCACTCAGGAAGTCGAGAAAAAAACGAGTAAACTCGGGCAAATTAAGTTATAAGCTAAAACACGTATGGAGCCATCATCCCAAATGTGTAATCATATTACGACTACAAAAGGTTCGGCAAAAAATAGAAAAATTAGAGGATCGAGAAATGTGGGCCAAACAAAAACGTAACGTATCGCCTAATTATAGCTGTTCGAAAAAACAATTTTATGTGGCGCATGCGCTGTTACACGGGGGGAAATTTAAGCGAGTTTAAAATAGATAATTGGAAGTAGGGCTTATGTAATTTTATTTGTTAATTTATTTACAAATATCAACTGTCATAACAGACGAAATTCATTGCTAAAAGCTATAAGTATTATAAATAAGACTAGAAATTTATTACTATTTTTTGTTATATGAATGATTGCGAATGAGTTAAAATATTTATGAATAAATTTCATTTTTTTTTTATTATTTTCATAGACTAATCTACGAATTTAACATTTACTCCGTTAAAGCTACTGTACTACCTACTATTATAATGTATTTTATACAAACAAAATAATTCAGCCTTACTGTTCTCTCTTTAAGAAATTCGCCTAATGTGCGCCGCGCTCTCCTCAAATCCTTTATTATTTCGTGTATATTTTATTTTCGTTCCTACACGATTATTATTTATGAATTATTATTATTTGAGACGATATTATTAAGTTGAGCAAGCGCATCCTTTTCAATTTGCCACAAGGTGCGGAATTCGCTCATTCGCTCAGGATCTTTCTTTTTGTTGACCCTTTTCGACGTTTGTTTTTCTATTTCGGTTGATTTTCATTTAGTTCACATGCGAACTAAATTGATTTGGATGTAATTAAATTAAATCGAATTTTACACAGATGCACCTTTGATTTAACAGACTTGCACGACTTTTCAGCCACAGGATAGACAAAAGCGACCCAAAGTAATTCTAGATAATATAAAGAAATAAATATATTTTCATCTATTCTACTTTATTAATTAGAAACACTGAAGGAATGGTTCACTTGAATAAAAACTTATGAATTAGCTTATAAATAAAAAGCGACCTTAACGCTAAACAGCGAGCTCTTCCAGACAAATGTGAAGGGAAAACAAAAAAAGAATTGACTAAAAGTAGGTGGTGCTAGAGAGGATCGTGAAAAATAATAGCAAATGAGGACTGGAAGGATAAAAATTGAAAAGGTTTTAAAAGCACGGAGGGATTGAGCTTTTCTGATATGTAACGGAAGAGATTTCCAGAGATTGTATATGTATGTTGTTTTGTGTAACAAAAATACAGGCCTGACAAGAACGTATGATTGTAGGAACCCAAATAAAATACTTTTGATTGTACATAATTATACCCTAATCCTTTTACAGTTTCAATCCCAGCAGTGGAACAAGAAAGTGTTGGACACACCTCTATTGGAGTACGTAGTAATCTGGCAGGGTATCGTTTCTCCTAGATACCAGCCAGATTCTCCAAATACCAACGACGAAACGATAGCGCTAACGCAGATTTGACTTTAACTTTAGGGACACCCTCCATCTTCACTCGTCCTGCTGCAAAGCGTCCAAAACGTCCGAAACGTTAACCAATACCGAACGCGGTTTAAACCGTTAAAAGTAATCGTTATTAGTCTTGATTTCTTGAACATTGCATGCGGGTAGAATTATAAAATAAAATAATTAGATAATGTTCTCAAGTAAGTGATCTTGTATATTTTTGACAAACAAATATCTTTTAAACCTTAATCGTGTTTTATTTAACTTTGTAAGTTATTACGAGGCTATATTTTGTACCGCAGCTGTGTTGTAGGCGTAATGCGAAAACGTTGGATGCGAAATTGTTTGGGCGGTGGAAGGACGTTCAAAGTCGTCTCCGCCATTAGCCATCTGTCACAATCACAAAGTACTTTCGAAGCTCAATTTTATATGAAACGGTTATTTATTGACTGTTAGTTAACAATCGATAAACGTTTGTTAAATTGAGATATTTTCGTTTACAAATAACGACTTATATTAGGAGCTACATGCCAAGTCGAAATGTATTTTAATGCGGGGTCGTAAGTACAAAAAACCTTTGACTCAGGAAGTGAATCCACAGATTCGTCAATTGCTTATAATTTTGAGTCCCAGAATCGTAATCTAGTAATAAAGTCTCTAATATCGTACAAAAAATTAAAAAATAAATATCACAAACACACCGTTTCTTTCACGTTTATATTTTAGTAACCAGAAGAGTTAACATTTTTAAATAAAACACTTTAACGGTTTAAAACGCGATATATTACAACTACGCGATATATAACTAATATATCGCGTTTTAAACCGTTAGGGTGTTTTATTTAAATGTGTACTACTCGCGTATACTATAGACAGTATTTAGGGTTAACATTCTTACACAGCATAAGCCGTAGCAAGTAAGCTCTATGCCAAGTCTTATCAAAACCCCTTCATCATTTTCTAATAAAACTTAGGAACGCTTTACCTTCAAACGCAGAAATCGCTTTAACATTGATTATAATTGCATGTAAATAAAAAAGGAAATTTAATAAATTCACAGTTTATAATAGTGGTGTAAAAGCATTCATTTCTTATCATTTAATAAGGGTGCAGCAACCGTGATTACAACGGACCACTGACCAGTGTTTCTCAAAGATAATTAAATCGGTTGCGCAAGAGTATAACAAAGTTAGTGTAGTTTATGAAGCTTAATAATAAACGTATGTATTAATAATATATAATTTAAACTTTTTTATCGTCAACTGAAATTGAGTTGATTATTCACATAGTTTCAATGTTTTAATAAATAAACACCTATGTAATATGTAGACTAACTAAAAACCTATGACATTCAACTTTCATTTAACTGTTTAAAAAATATATCGTGAAATAAACTAGTTAAATTTATTTCGGTAACACTTCTCCCGGTGACCAGAGTCAGATGTTGTAGGCCAGAGCGTTTAGCCTGTTCGCGTTTTAAACCGTTAAAGGTGTTTTATTTAAATGTAATACTATTTGCATAAACTATAAACAGTACTTATTATTACTCGTTAAACATCTCTAAAAGCAATTCCTAACGAATCATTTTTAAAAGAATAGGGGAACGGTATCAAGAAATCAACCATAGGCGCGTCAAAGTTTAAGAAACTCTGTACCACAGGTATTTAATTCCTGCGATATCCAACGCTACAGGCGAGGTGTTTATTTGAGAAATTATCCGTCAGATGTAGCACACATTGTTATTGCTCTTTATAAATTGCGAAACTGTATACCCCGCAGTCGTGTACGGCCCGAAACGCGATTTAATATCGATTTGAAACCATTAATCACTTATAAGTATGCGCAGGATTCAATAAGGATTTGTGATTTTTTATGATAGAGGAGAACGGAAAGGAATGGGGTTCACTTGGTGGTAGGTGAAATAAACAAGATGCGCTCTCGACCTGTTTTGGTTTTGGATATTCGGAAATCCACAGACTGAAACTGAAACACTCTTGAACTTGACGACTTTTTCATCACTCGAGCGGAATTTCCATATTCCTTAATTATATATATATACTATTCTTTTAATATCAGTTTGAAGTCCAAGATGTTTCAGAAAGGCACCATTACACCAACAGCTCGTCCAAAAATATCAGATTTAATCTATTACATTCTGCGTTCCAAAGGCCAAAAATTTCAAAGCAATGAATGGCGACGACTGCGTGATGTTTAAATTCCAATAACAGCGCTGTTTCGTTGATTAAATAATTTATAAGCAGATTTGAACTAAGTATATTTTGGAGGATAAATATTGTAAAAATCATTAAAATAAGGGATTTACTTTCACAGGCCATTTAAAATTCACTAAACAAACCTAGTTGAGTTGAATTAACAGATACACCCAAATAATGATCTAAATTACTAATCGTGAAGCAAAAAGTTCACATTTAACAGTGTTGCGCCCGCGCCGGTCTCTCAGGCCGTATCGTGCGCCATCTTTCGCACGCGGGTACGCCCCCACATTAATATCTGTGTTTGAGCTGTATCCAGCTGAATTTTCGTGCTAAATGATTTTATTTCGTAATTTGCTAAAGCTTTAGTGAAATCTTATGTTTTGAGAGTCATGCCTACATCAATTTTAAGTATGTATTTTGAACAATAAGTAAGTAGTACGTAATCATAATTATGTTTGTGGAATATTAAAACCTTGACATAATTTTGTATTATCAATGTTCATAAGTTCAAAGGACTCGGTCCCTTATTACAGTTCTCATGTTAAACGGCCTAAGTTCCCAATCGTGTTATTCTTTATTTCCTATACAA